AGCATCGTGATATGTGAAATGGTGGTGACCGAACCACTTCCCAATCAGACCCCCCCCCTCCTTATTGAGGAGATTTGGGAGACCGGTGAACGGCTGTTACCGTAACCCTGCCCGTTGGAGGATTCCCTCGCCGCTCCCCAAGCTCGGGTGCGTGCGCGCGAGATCGTCCACTCTCTGCCAAGCGGATGAGTCAGTGCGGTGGAACGTATATCACGCGGGCAGTGCCTGAGGCGCCCTAATATGGGAATGAAGCACACCTCAAACTTGGGAAACTTAGCCAAGCGCTCGGAATACGGTAACAGCGATTCACGGCCTCCCAACTCCTTGTCCCCCCCCCCCTCGCGAGACCATCCAGCGGTACGACCTTCTTCTCTATCAATACTTTCACTCTTCCACCTTTTCCCAGCTTTCCACCGCTGTCGCCATTCCTTCGGGAATAATATCAGTTTCTCACTTTTCAAAATTGCTGTCCACAGGTCGGAAATTCTTCTAAAATCGATTCTGAAGTCAGCTATCAGAACCAATGTTCATGTAGTGGCACGCGGCACTGCCGACCAGGGCGAGGTCCAGTCGTGGCCTGGAAGAACCACTGCCAAGATCCACTGGGGGAAAGTCGTCTAAAAGCAATTTTGAAACCAGCTATCAAAAACAACGTTCATGTAGTGGCACGCGGCTCTGCGAACCAGGGCGAGGCTTAATCGTGGCTTGGAAAAACTCCTACCAAGACCAGGTACGCCATCTCTCCTGATGGGAAAGTTCCTACCAATGCAGTACCCCTGTGTTGAACACCGTTTTTAAGAAGCTCTCCTCAAGCTGAGAAGCCTCCATCCAAAATGTCGAATACTTTTGAACTGTATTAATTCACATGCAGCCTTACGTTCCTCCTAACCACTGGGATTAGACAAGTAGGACGCCTCCTCGAAGGGATTCCGTTTGCTAATGGCACATGAGAACTTGCTGGCCTTAGAGGTTCCTGTATAACGCTAGGACAACGCAGCCTTATTAATGGAGTAAGCGTTT